TCAAGGCAGCCCTCAGAAAATGCCAGCTCTTATCTTTCTCTCATTTTTTTTGACTGAGGGAAATAATAGAGCAACTTTTCTGTTGCAAAGAACTCAGAAAGACCCCAACAGATCAGAACAGTTTTGGCACTATGGATTCCTATTTGAAATCTGTGGGTTTATCTTGAGAATCATGTGTAGGTGTTTGCACACCTAAGACTAATCTAACACTCGTAATATTGCGTGGTATCCCATGGTACCCCACTGCATCCTTAAAAGGACCGTATGATACCTTGATTGAGATTCACTTTTATAATTATTAATAACAATATCAGAAGGCCAACACAACACTACTCATCAATGTTGCCATTTCAGGGCAGTGCCCCATCATGGAAAAGCCAGGAGAGTAATGCAAAAGTAAACAGTGGGCATGTATACATGTGATGCTTTAATGTGCATTAGTTTAAGCTAATGCACTTTAAGGGTGTATGTCTCTATGTGTGCACCCTTAATGCATATTAAAAAATGGTGAATTTAGGCTATTTGCAACTGCAGGTATCAAATTTAGGCATGAATAGTTAAAGTGTAGACATGTTAAAGTTCATTAACTCTGTTTGTCAACTGACTTGGAACTAAATTTAGTCTCAAGTCAGTCCGTGTACAGGATTAATACACTTTAGTGCCTGAACATAATGGGCACTTACACACATACGGGGAGCTTGCAGGGAACAGACTTGATTAATCAAGTCTGCTGGAGCATGTAAATTGATGTGCTCTGGCAGCTCATACGTTGCTTGCATTAGCAGTGCAGTGCACCTCCACACTGAGAAAATGGTGACGATTCACTTTAAACTGAAAGCATGTTTAAAGTGCACTGCCACCAGTTTCTCAGTGTGGAGGCATGCTGTGCTGCTGATACATGTGATGTGTGGGCGCCTTTAATTAGCGCGGCTCACTAATTAAAAGCAACTGGCACCGCATTGGGAGCACATGTAAAAATGCCCATAGTTGCCTGTCTAAACCCACTTTATGCACATTAAGCTAATGTGCATTACATTTATGCACGCTTAAATGCATGTGTGGACACATCCATTATGTAGTTCATCAAAATGTAATGATAATACCAGTAGCACTCTCAATGAATGAGGTTATATTAAAGTTACTGTGAAAGCCTTAAGAAAGTTAGAAATGGAGGGAACTGCCCCATATTTACTGCTGAAAATCTAGGTGATGCTAGTATATTAATATAGGTTTTTTTTTTATTTTATTTGATTATTAAGGACAAAAATAAAGAAAAAATCTTTTTGTGTCACAGCCTACCTTACTAGTATATCCTCTACCAAAGATAGCTTAGAGCTTGATTGGGTAATCATGACATGGGCATCACGTGTGATCTTGCATGTCTCAGAACCCTCAGTCCTCTGATTTTTTTTCTAGCCTTCCTTTTCTGTCTCTCTCTCTTGTTTTTTATTTCATCCTGTCAACCAAAATGCATTGTACTACTACTATTGTTATTTCTGCTGCTGCTGTTGTCTGATGATGATATATGTCTATTATGTTCACAATATATAAAGCACCTCAAAGTTGTTATTATTAAATAAGGTTTAGATCCAAAATACGTTGGGAGCTTTCCAAACACATAAGCAAACAGAAACCCTCTTTAAAGACATTCTAGTCTAGAAAGGCAAAGGAAATAGGATAGAGTTGGAACCTATGGCCAAAGTAAACCAGACTATGACAGTTACTATGTACTGTGCAATTTGGGGTTCATAAGATAGCTCCCTCTTCCTCCCTATCATCATTTCTCCTTCTCCTCCTTCCCCAAATAGAACATGCCAAGAAAGAAAAAAAAAAATCAATATTTTTCTATTAACCCTCCTTAAGAGGTGGCTATATACAGCAGAGAAGAGAAAAGCAAAAATCCCCCAGGAAGTAGAGTCATAGATTAGTTGCCCTGGAAGACACCTCCAGAGGTAATCTAGGCCAACCCATTGCTGGAGGCAGGATCATCGCTACCCAAAGCATCTCATAAAACCATAATCTAAACTTTACATAAGACTACTGTTAACCCTGACACAACAGAGACCTAACCTAACCTGCCACAGGTAAGCAGGGGAACCACGGAAACCAATGTCCTGCTTCTATAAATGTTGTCAATATACACTCAAGAGGCCCTGGGTAGAGGGTCATGCCCCCCAATACAGAGGAAGGCAAACCCCCCTACAGTCCGTAACAACTGACCATTGGGTAAAATTTCTTTCTGACCCCGAGTGGAATGGGAGACCCTCTAGCCCGGAACCTCTGGCTTTGGTCCCAGCGGGAGCATTGGCACACTCCAGTCAAAGTCTCCAGCCTTGGCTGTAGCCAGCACCCAATGCCTCTGGGAAGGTTTAAAAACATTCTGACACATATAGCAGAAAAGGGTGGGCAGGGGGCAACCAGCAAAACCCAGAAGCATTGGAAAAACCCATCGTAGCACATGGGCATAGCTATGCCTTGATCATCCCTGAGCAGTTGCTTTCCAACCTCTTCTTGAACACCTCCAGTGATGGAAAGTCCACAACTTCCCTTTGGCAGTCTATTCCACTGCCTCACTACAGTGAAGATGTTTTTCCTGCTATCTAGTCTAAACTTAGTTTGTTGCAACTTCCAGCCGTTGGTCCCTGTCCTCCTCTGCCGCAAGGGAGACTGGTGCTTTCCCTCTTTAGCGGTCCTTCAGGTATTTGAAGACTGCTATCATATCTCTTACATGCCTTTTCTGCAAGCTGTACAAGCCTAGCGCCTTCAGCCTCTCCTTGTATGACTTGCCTTCCAAGCCCTTTATCATCTTTGTTGTCGACCTCTGGATCCTCTCTAACTTCTCCATGTTCTTTTTAAAATATGGAGCCCAGAACTTCATACAGTACTTCAGATGAGGTTTAACCAGTGCTGAGTAGAGGCACAGTATCACCTCCCATGTCTTGCACCTAATTGTTCTATTGATGTATCCCAAAACCTCATTTGCCTTTTGTGCAGCTGTATCACACAGCAGACTCGTATTGAGTGTGTGTCTCCCCAAGTTACACTAATGTCCTCCATTCCCAGTGACCTTAGGAAGCACGTTACAGAACTGGTCCTTTGTAAGTGCTAAAACAGGAGAGAGAGGTTATGAATTTGTGGAGTGTTCAGTCCATTTCTGTCATTTCATTTAAATTCTGTCTCCCTTTGAAGTAACATGAAAACAACATTTACAGTCTACAAATGAAATCAATTAAGAAGTTACAACTGAGACTTGAGTTGTTTACAAAACTAAGAGGCTGTGAGGTGCCAGAAGAGAAGTCGGGATGTCTGCTTGAAGGCTGTGCTATCCGTGTGTTAATAAAAAATATTTATAGAATGTCTACAAAATAACAATTAGAAGGAGGGGGGGGAAACATATTAAACACGCGATGGCAGTTTTGATTTCCTGTTGGGATGCAGATTAATATTTATTAGTACAAGTTTAGATCCTGAAAGGTCTCTTTAATCAAGGTGAGAGGCAATTTTCATCAGATGATCTTTAGAAAGGGATAAATACGTATGAGAAGATTAAATACTCAAGTCATAGCAAAGTTGTAATAAGTACTGTAAAAAAAAAAAAAAAAAATCCCATGGTAATCTACTGAAGAAAGTGCTATTGCTTTCTCTCTCTGTTGAAAGAGGTGGTTCTTGTAAAGGGGAAAATGATGAAACAACTAGAATTTTATTTTTTCTTATTACCTCGCAGACTGAAGAATTACTCATTTAGTCAACAGACCATTATGCCAACTATCAATCCATTAGGGGTGTTTACTCACTGCACTTCAATTCAGTTCAAAATGAATGAATTTTCCTTCTCACTTTAGCCACTCATTCTGCTGTGTGGTTGTTTATCTCATGTCAGAAAGCTCCTTATTCATCCTTGGTGTAACTTTATTTAATCTAGTAGGTTTATACCAGGGATTAAGGTTGACCCATCATATGGACTCAGAGCCTACATTTATCATACCCTGTCCATTACTGTGAAGTGAGCAAGGTGACCTTATGGCTCAAGATCTTTTTATGGCAATCCAGTAATTTTAGACCTGAACTACATCATTCTCTATAAATCCATCTGGTGACACTGTTTATTTCCCTGAAGTTTGTAATTTAAAATGGCCCAAGGAAAGTTAGTGTAGATACAAATAATTCTCCATACCTACATCAATTAGAGCACAGACCATGGATTATTACACACCATTCTGTTCATTCCACTCTTGTCGATATTGTGCTTAATGTTCTCTAGATTATACATGTCAATCCTTTATATAAACCTTGTGTGTGCATGTGTGTGAGAGATGATATTTTAATGGGATCAAAGATGAGCCAGAATATCTCAGTGTTTGTTCTAGGATGATTGTATTTCCCTTGGTTAGCAAGATCTTATTTGTAGTGGGCAATGATTATCCCAAGAATATCTTATTGTTTGTAAAAGTTATTGAAATTAGACCTATCAATAGATTTTTAAAAATCTAATTTTAATCTAATCTAATTAAATTTTTTATCAATTTTTTTTTTTAAACTAAAACATTGGGGGACAAAATCATTTTCAGTTGGACTCGCATTCAAAATTATTTGTTTTTTCCTTTGACAAAATAAAAGAGCAGGTCAATGGGTTGTTTCAGGTCAACTCAAAACACCTCTGAGTTAATAAATCATTATTTTTTTCTAGCTGAATATATTTGCCCAATTTGATTCGAACAGCTTTAGTTCCAGAATTTTTTTTATGAAATTACTATTGGTTGGAAAAAAAAAAAAAATTGTTCAACCCTAGGTGAAAGCCAACTGCTACTTAAAAATATAACAGATCCCCAAAAGTTCCTGTCATGAAATCTCCCAGGTCTTTCAACCAGTTTTCTGAGATGGTTTTGACAGGGATGATCTAACCTTGGACAGCAGGTTAAAATGTAATGACCTTTTAAGGTCCTTCCCACCCTATATATATATTTTTAAAGATTTTAAGTCTATGTTTCAGGATGGTTGGCATCATATAAAATGAGGTAAGTAACTGAAGATTTTGTTGTCCTGTGAGAGGCTGGATTCAAACAGGGTTGGCAATTTTCTTCATAAAAAGAATATTTTTTTCATCTTTCAAAATTAAATGAGTTATGCTGCATGGTATTCCTCCTTCTCCTGTTCAGCTTCAGAGTGACTGCATCTGAAGTAGATTAATCTGCATTAGAACAGCAGAGGCAGGGAAGACTCAGCTGTCAGTTCATAAGAGCAGCATGGTGGAAAGCCAAATACCTTATTAAAAAAAAACAACAACTGGGGAGTGATGAGAGAGTACTTTCAAAATGAGGAAGCCAGAGGGGAGGAGGGTAGGGGGAACAAGAACAGGTGGCAATCCTACAAGGAAGCCTTTAGTAAAGGGAAGAGAGAAAATGGTTGTTTTTATTGCCTGTACTATGTTGTTTCAGCCCTCCCATGGGATCCTAGCAGAATATTTCCATTTCCTTAATTGTAATTTGAACACGAGGACAACTTGTGTAAGGGGTTGTCATCTGTACTTAGTTGTTTTATGTAATAGTAATATTTAGACATGACTCATGCTATTTAAATGCACGTTAGGTGCTGGCAAATGAAGACCATTAGCTGGCTGTGATCACTCAACCCCTGAAATGCTCCTACAGGCCAACCAAAGACAACAGGGAATGTATAAGTTTTGGGAAAGAAACAGTGAATTTTAATAGGCACAACATCATAGCCGATTTAGCAGCACAGAGATCATCCCCATTTCCTCCACTGTAAAGGGAGATTGAAGGGAGATAAATCATAGAATCTTCTTTTTAGTGGATAGACTCATTTGGGAAATCATTATTTGGACCCTTTTCCCAAACAGTCTTGAAGGTCAAAGCCTGTGGTTGTTGGGATGTGTATTGTACAGCACCAAGTTGATCCAGAGGCTGTAAGGAATATTTACAGTGTGGTCAGATGGGTTAATGGAGTTGATGACATCTTATTTGCCAAAAGAGTTCAATAAAATGTAAATTAAGCTTAATCTAGGGTTTTTACCAGTTTGCTATTTTTTCTAAGCAGTGTAGCCTTCACTACTGGAAACTTATTTTTAAGTATAATGCTCAGAAAAGGCCCCTTTTTTTTTTTTTGGTGGAAAAAAAATGTACGCATTTGGGGAAGAAAATTTATACCTATAGAAAAAAAAAAAAGATGATCAATATCTTTCTTTTTGACAAGACATTTCCATTTTGGTTTTAGCCAGGAGGAGCTCTATATTGACTATCTGCTATCTGTATTAAATACTGAATATTTAGTGAGCAAAAGAAAAACCTTGAGCAAAAGAAATAATGTGTTCTTATTTTTCACTGTCTTAGAAACTCCACAAGGCATCCTATATTGAGCATCACTTCTCTAAGAAGTTACACAGGGATAAGGTCTAAAAAAATTGTATATTTGGCACCAATAATAGAGGCTCATTTTTCCTGATTAGGGGGGAACTTCTTAGTTTCCATCATACCTAGCCAGGTCAGTCATTTTCATCCATATTTATTTTGAAGGCAAAGGTTTCTCCATTAGTCTACCATACACAATGTTGCACCTGGAATTCCTGTTTTGCAGTTCTCCATCACCTGTACCATTACATCAAGATTTATGTTAAAAGGTATATTTTTATTACAAACAGAATTTGGGCTGCCTGCAAAATCTAAGACCTGCTTAACATACCAAATCAAGGTAAATAATGACAAGTCTTTTTTTGTCTTCAAAATATGTGCATCTTAGACTTTATATATGCAAATCTTATATGTACAAACAATTGAGATTGGTTAGGGTAAACTTTTCATGTTTATGCTCAAGTAATAGAGAATAAAAACAGCACATAAAAATGGAGATTATACCTTGACAACCTGTACATAAGTCCTTTAAGGATGAAAACATGTTTCCTGTGGTAACTACTGTTCTTGCTGTCCATAGAAGCACACATCCCTTCCTTAAGTTAAAACAAAGTTGTCTCTCTCTCTTAGAACCCTGTAGAACAGCATTGAATAATTTTATAGTATATCCCAAAACAGTTTGAAGCAAAAGCCAGTTCTTATTCATGAAAACCAATTATCAGCATGCAAATCAAGTACCAACATGTCAGAATGTATCACTACATGGCGTTTGCTGCCAAATGGTTTTGGCACGGTAAATGCTGCATGCTAGCATAAAAACTGACAAAACTGGATCTGCATGTCACTTACACATACATATGTAATAAAGATGCCTGACTGGAAGTCTACATGACTGGGGCTAGAGAAAGCAGAATTTTTCATAAGCAGTGTAAGTTTTTGACAGTAAATTGTTCAGAAAACATATGACAAACTAGAGAACCTGACAGTATGTAATACATTTTGACCCACACTGGCTAAACCATTTTCAAGATGAGACCAACTTGTTCTGGGGTGTTTTGGCAACAGGAAATATAGTCTAAATAAATACAGGATCACTGACAAACTCCTTACTAGTACTAACATACAATAGGAGCCAAAGTATAAAGAAAAGACAGATCAGTGTCTTGCTGAAACTCATGCTATGGTGAATTAGCTAGAATAAGGATAACAACAACAACAAAAAATCCTCCCCAGATTCTGTTACAAACAAGTCAGAGCAAAGGAAAGTAGTCAGTCTAGGAGGGAAAAAAACAAACAAACATGCACATGTCCTCACTAGACATATCTTTTAATATGAGTGGGGGGGGGGGGGGGAAATATATATACCATTGATTAAGTAAGGAGAGAGGAACTGCTTCAGTAAATTAAGAACTAACTCACTAAGACTCCCACTGACTTCAGAGACCTGAGCCAGTCCCAGTCCCATGCCACTGAATGAACCAAAAGCCGAATGCTTCCAGTTTGATAACCATGAAATAAATATCTATACTGCCCCCTACCCCTTTAAAGGCATCCCTGACATCTTTATATAGCGACAACTTTCAGAAGTAGTAAATGTCAACCATCCTTGAATGTAGTAGTAATGGTAATTATAGTTCAGAATGAAAGCTGATATTTACTCTGTCCAAAAACAATTTTTTGATAAAATGACCATGTTAAAACTTTACAAAGAAATGTTCCTTTTTAATCAGGTTTGAACAAAATATTTGCTTTCTCTTGGTTTGCATCAGAATTGGTATCCAACTATTAGGCATGCTTTAAATTAAGATGACTTATTGTTAAACACATTATCCTCCTAAGTACTGTTGCTGTTTTCCTACAAAAGTAGGAAACTTTATTTTACGTGCCATAAAATATAGCTGCATTCTAATTTCTTTTTACCATTAAAATGATCCATTTGAATGGTTTCATTGACAGGGCAAACCAGAGATTTGATTTATGGTGAAACAGTTCATTTACTGCATTTGACTGTGCACCTCAGCTGCCAGGAATATGACCATAAGTTAACGGGATTTCTTTTTTATAAAAAACACAATGCAGTTTCCAAAGATAGCTCGAGACTGTAAATATTCCATTTCCACTTGTTAGAATGAAAGATATTTTTCCTGAATTGTCACTGTCACGGCGGGGCCCCTTAGGAGGGCCGTGATCTCCTCGAGGTCCCTCACTCCGTGTCAAGGCCGGCCCAAGACACCCTCTTATTCTTGCCCACCACGTCTTGCTGGTAAATATAAGGTTGGGAGGCTGCCTATGACTCCCTCGGCACGGCTACTCGGGACCTCTGTCCCCGCGGTTCTTCCGGACTCCTGTGGTCTCCCGGTATGACGGGTGCTCCCCAGGCACCCTAGTCTTATGGGCTACATGTGGCTCCTACTAGCCCCTAATACCACGCCCCAAGCCTCACTGATGTGAGGGACGTTGTTCTGTCACGATACATGCCCGTTCTCCCGGGCCTCCTCTCCTGTAATCTAGCCCACTCTGGGCTCTCTCTAATACCCAGCTCCTCACTGGGACTCTCGTCAAGCCCACTCTGGGCCTTCTCTAAAAGTGTGGTCCCGCTCAGGGACCCTTAGCGGGTCTCCGGTCCTTCAGGCCAATCGCACGGGTACCCTCTCTGATCCAGGCTCACCGTGCCACTATTCCCCATCCTCTCGGGGGCAACCGCAGCACCTTGCCTCTGTCTGAGGGGTGTTGCTGCACTAGCCTACGGCCAGGCTCACTACGCCCATCTTGGGCTTCTCAATATGGCGCTCCCCCTCTTCGGGGCTCGCCGTGCCCACCTTGGGCTTCTCAATAGTCCCCCCCTTTCTCAGGGACTCATTGGGCCCATGCTGGGCTCCTCTAAAGTGCGCTCCCCCTTTCTGGGGCTCGCCACGTCTACGCTAGGGCTCTCTGGGGATTCTCAAAGCTGCCCCACTCTGGGGCTGAGGTCTACATACCCTGCATGCAATCCGGGGTCCCTGTTCCCCGCCTGCAACCCACTGGTTGCGCTAGTGCCCCCTTCTGGGGCTCATCATGCCCCCTCTGGGGCATCTCAAAGCTGCCCCACTCTGGGGCTGGGGTCTACATACCCCGCATACAATCCGGGGTCTCTGCTCCCCACCCGCAACCCACTGGTTGCACTCAGGGCCCCCCACACCTCTGGGGTCCCTATGAGGACATTGCACCCTCTTGACGCTAGGGCACCCCACACAGTCTGGGGTCCCTATGAGGCCTCCTCCAACCCCTACAGCCTCACCCAAGCCTCCGGTATAATATCAAAGCCAAACATAAACTCGAGCCTCCTGGCTATAACTCAAACATAAAGCCTCCTGGCTAAACCATGGTGCCCAAACCTCTCAGAGCTGCCATCCTTCTCTGAGCTAGAGC